ACAATCGGAACACGTAATTCGAGATTTTTCTGAATTGGCTGAATAATTGTAACTGTTATTGTGAATGAGATAACAACGTATAATATAGTATTTCTATTTAGAAAGATATATAGCAGCTAATTGTTATTTAAATATTTATAAACATTCTGCATATAATAATAAACTACAAAAAAAAAATTAATATTATGTGAAATATTACCATTTCCAATGTATAATCCAATAAAATATAACTACATTAAAATTATTTTTAATTTATATATAAGAATTTAGTGCAGAAGAAAGAAATTTTATATTTATTGCTTACTTAAGAAACTATGAAATTTTATAAATTTTAACAATTCTACGAAAATATTTTTTAATGTAAAATAATATATTCATTTTAATTAGGATAATTCATACGCATGTCATGAATTCGAGCCACACAGAACATACATTATCGTACATACACTACAGTTGTATATGTATGTGCAATGAAATTGAATGTAATTAAGTGCACACTCGCGAAGCACTTAAAATTGATGAGTGCTTTTCGGGCTCTCCGTAGGTTACAACTTCAATAATAATTAACGCTAGACCTTCGCTTTTAATAGACCGTATACCTATTTAGTTTACCTATTTTGCAATAGATGCAAACACATAAAAATAATTAAGGAAAAAAGAACTTCTGGTAATTTAACATCGATATTTTTATTTAAGTATACTACATACAAAAACTAAATCGCATTAAGTGACGTCAATTTTTCATTTGTCTCGTAATGTACACAAATATTGGAAAGGCATTACCACCATATACATTATTCAAGCACTCAAAGCTTTGCCGATTTAAGTACAGGCTAAACAAACAAGCAAAAAAATGATCGAAATCTAATAGTCATACAGAATTTTTTTTATTTTGCATTTTAAATGTGATTGGAAATATTTCATTAATGGTTAGTATATATTCTGCAAATAATAATCACTATTTAAATATATCATATATTATTTTGTTCATAATATTTTTTAATATTTTGCGCTCAATATTCCTTTGTTTATATGTATACAATAAATTTTGTATAATATTATTTATTAATATATTGTAGCAGATAGTTAATAAATGAAATATTTACAATTTCATATTTTGAATGTAATAACGATTTATTTTCTAACATGACGCAAAGACGAATTAACATGGAAATATGATAATACTCTTGAGTCATGTGCAATTAGCCCTCTTCTGGAAAGTTGAACAATTTATACTCATTACTAACACAAATAAAACTGTCGGAGTGCCGTTTTGCTATTAGAAGGCAATTTTGCAGTTCACGACATTTAACTTAATACCCATTAAACTTTGCCTAAGTATACGTACATATTATATATAAATGGTAAAGACGAGACGCCAATTTAGATTACAAATTAACTGAAGTACAGACGACCGGTGCCTTATTAATTGAACTAATAATTTATCGGCATTTATCATCGATGGGAGGACACTATTTGGGAAACTTCTTAATATGCAATGGCGCATATCTCTAATAATCGCCGAAAACTTTTTCCATGTGCATATGAATTATAAAGCGGGGTCAAAAGAGAGTCCCCCAACGCTCTTCCTTTCAGACGTTCTCCCTGTCGCACGTTTGCACTTTCGCTGCGAGGGAGGCCTCGGCTATTAGATAGAAAAGTGTAGTCTATATATGCGAGTTGTACCAGTAAGTATATATCAGTATTCCATTTCCCAAGAGGAAAATGGGTAAACGTAATCCGCACAGCAAGTAATGGGGAATAAAGTCCCATATTTTGTCTTCCGGAAAATGCAGAAGATGTGTTTAGCCATGCAGATGTGACATTGATAATTTAAAATGCACGGCGATGTGTCTAGAGAGGTTCTAGATGTGGCGGTAGAAGAGCGCGCGCACGGAATAGAGTGGTTCTTTAAATCTTAGAATAAAATAAAAGAGTAAAGGAGAAGATAAAAAAGGAAGCATTACATAAAAAGCAACCAAAGGATCTTATATAAAAAGAACTAAAATACTTCCTAAGTAAGAAGAATAAAACTCTTTATTCCTTTAGATTCGTAAGACGACATTTGATGAAAGCATATGTATTATTAAATATGTAATATGTTTCCTCAACAATTACTAATAAACATAATAATTTGTAAAGTAAATGTACTCACAATAAATCGATTATAAATGTTGTTTACTAAAGGCATACATTTTCACATCTGATTTAATAAAAGTATGCACAAAATAAAACTCTAGATTCTTATTGCCATGATACAAAAATGCAAGATACAACCACAGCCGTTCGATTTGGTGACCGTAGTATCAGATTGACAAACAATAAGTAATAATATACGAAGACTTATTAAATTATTGTCAAATATAACTTAATAGAATATATAGAATAGAATATATTTCAATATTCTATTTTCTTAACTTCAGGTTAATATGTCACTCTCATTTACGGTATTGGTGACGAATATGAACTTTGTACCATGCCTTATTTATTAAACACAATATACAAAAATAAAATCATTCAAAATA